CACATCAGGGGCTTCGTCAGGCTGGAAGTGTTCCCAGTACCGGCGACGGACGTCATCCAGGTGGAGGTTATCTCCATCGCCGAACCTACCTGGGCGAAGGAGATAGCGGATTACCTCAGAGATGGAACACTCCCGGAGCCCGATGAGGAGGGCAGCACAAAAAGAGCTGCATGGGTAAAGAGGCGTGCCCCTAACTTTGAACTCATTGATGGGCAACTCTATAAGAAGACGTTCGGCGGACCTTACCTCAGGTGCCTCCCGCCGAGCCTAGCAGCAGCAGTGATTGAAGAGATACATGAAGGGATCTGTTCCAGCCACCAAGGGCCCCGAACCTTGGCCAGAAAAATCATCCTGCAGGGCTATTATTGGCCAACCATACAGCAAGATTGCTTCAACCACACTCGGAAGTGCGCGGTGTGCCAACAATATGCGCCTATCCCTGGACGTCCGGCGAGCTTCTACACCCCGATGACCATCGCACTACCCTTTGCTAGGTGGGGCATAGATTTGCTGGGCCCCCTGCCGACGGCCGCCGGGGGAAGGAAATTCGTCATTGTGGCGATTGATTATTTCACAAAGTGGGTGGAGGCCGAACCACTCGCCTCCATCACTGAATTCCAGTGCCAGAAGTTCGTCTGGCAAAACGTCATATGCCGCTTCGGGATCCCGGAGCAGGTCGTCACCGACAACGGCCGGCAGTTCGTCGGCAGAGGATTTGAGGCATACTTGGCAAAGTGGGGCATCAGGCACTCTAAGGCCTCGGTGGCCTACCCGCAGGCCAACGGCCAAGTGGAGAACATGAACCGGACCATCATGGATGGGATCAAGAAAAAGTTGGAAGACTACACCTCCACCTGGCCGGAGCAGCTGAATTATGTTTTGTGGACGTACAGGACAACGCCAAGAACGGCGACGGGGGAAACCCCTTTCGCTTTGGCTTATGGGTTCCAAGCTAAGGTGCCGACGGAGGTATTGGTACCTACACATCGCACCAAGCATTACCAGCCGGAGGACAACGAGGGCCAACCTACGAGCGGAGCTCCATTTCATTGAGGAACGGAGGGACCTAGCGGCTCGCCGCATGGAAGAGTACCACAGGGCCACCCAGAGATACTTCAACAAGGCCGTGAAATTCCGCGAAATAGAGGCCGGGGACCTCGTACTCAGAAAAAGAGAGAAGAGCAAGCCGCTCGAAGGTGGCAAAATGGCGAAGAACTGGGAAGGACCTTACCAGGTCATCAGAAGATACAACCAGGGGACGTTCCTCCTCCATACCCTGGAGGGGAACCATGCCGGGATGTGGAACGTAGAACACCTGAAGAAGTTCTATCAATAATTAGGGGCTGTTGTCCTTGTATTATTCCCACTACATGTAAAATGACCGGACGTCGCCAATAATAAGGCCCCCTGTTTTTCATCACTTCTGTTCTTGCCAACAACCGTTAAAGAAGGGAATCTCGACGTAGATAAACCTGTTCCTCCTTGCGATGTCTACGGATACCGAACGTCTCCTCGAAGTAGGGACGCCGGTAGGACCAAGGACCAAGGACGAACGAAGCACCAGGGAATCTCGACGTAGATAAACCTGTTCCTCCTTGCGATGTCCACGGATACCGAACGTCTCCTCGGAGTAGGGACGCCGGTAGGACCAAGGACCAAGGACGAACGAAGAGTATAGATTGCCTCCCCAAAAAAAAAAAAAAAAAGATGGGGAGAAGAGGAGAGTAGCTCCTACGCGGAAAGGAATCTTGCCCGGGCGTGCCAGATCTTCTCCCACCGCCGAAGGCGAACGCCTCTCGATGTAGAGGTTAGTAGAGACGCGGAGGGGGCTAGACGAACCAAGGGAGCCTGCCAAGATAAACCTGTTTATCCCACAAATGACCATGGATCGATGGGCGTGGGATAACAAAGTCGGGAACCCGTGAGGGTAAACCTGTTCGTCCCTGCGAGTTCCTTGGGTACCGAACGTCCTCTTCGAAGCAAGAGACGCCGGTAAGACTAAAAGGGCCACGGACGAACGAAAAAAGGGGGAATCTCGATGTAGATAAACCTGTTCCTCCTTGCGATGTCGGCGGACACCGAACGTCTCCTCGAAGTAGGGACGCCGGTAGGACCAGGGACCAAGGGCGAACAAAGACTAAAAGACTCCAAAAGAAAAAAAAAATGCCAGAAGAGCATGGAGCAAAGAATGATTTTATTCTTCGGCTCTAACGGCCGGAAACTACAATGTACGAAGGTATAATGCAAATAATGGAAAAAATTGTACAAGTACAAGGTAATGAACGGAGAATCACTGCCGATCGACGTCCGGAGCTGGAGCTTTTGAAAGAGTCTGCTTGGATTTTTCACTAGCTTCGGCTTCCTCCTGCTCCTTCAGCAGCTCAAGGGCCCCCGCATGGGCATCTGCCATCAAGACGTCAAAGCCAGCCGCCTCCGGATCGAAGGGAGCCCCGAAGTGACGCTCGAACGTCGGGAGATTCTCCGCTACTAAACCAATCATACCCTTGCGGTAGGTGTCATCGGCGAGATCGTCAAGAAAACGACGTCCGGTGGGGGTGGCCTGGAGCAATTTAACCCCATCCAGATAGGCATCCGGGCAGGTGGCCAGGAACCCGCCAACGAGCCGCGGAAGGAACTTCATGGCCATGGTGTGAATGGCGCCAGTATAAGCCTTGGACCTCTGGAACGCTATGGATCCGGACTCCTTGATTTTGGCAACATCGGCCTCATAAATAGGGACATGATTGTCCACGCCCGTCCGGCGGAGTTCCACCTTGGCCTGATCTACGGCCCACATCCGGCTGCGAAGATCCACAAGCTCGGCCTCCTGCTTCTTGAGGAGCTCCTTCTGAGAGGCATTCTCCTGGACGAGCTTATCGTAGGCATCGGCTTTCTCTTGAAGAGTGCCAGCCCTGCCTTTTGCATTCCTCAGAAGGGCGTCGCATTCGGCCCGCACCTTGGCCATCTCCCTGCCTTGGTGCTCGAAGGCCATCCGGGCCCTGTGGAAGTAGAGCCCGGCCTTATCCAGGGTGCTCTGGCCGCACTCCAAGAGATCCTCAGGGGCCTCCTGAGCGGCGAAATCCTGCGGGACCTTGAGATTCAGCCCACACCAGATGGAGGACGCTGTCTGGCCAAAGAGCATCATAGACTCCTTGCGGGGGCCAACCCTAGAAAACTCGATCAGGCCAAGAGAAGACTCACTGGCTCCTGGGGGAGAGTTTGGACGGGCGTCGTCAGAACCTTTGGCGGTTGGGGTATCATCATCCCGGAGACGGCGGACGTCGGAATTCCTCGGAGGAGAGGCACGGAGATTGGTCCGCGAAGTGCGCTTCCGCTTGAGGGGACTTCCGGGCTCCCCATCGGAGTCATCGGCCACGATGATGGCCTTGGAGGAGGTGCCCTCAACACGTGGCCTCTTGGAGGCGCCGGCCCCCGAAGCGTCATCAGCTCGTGCCCTGGTCACCCGAGGTTCGACCTTGGGGGACGAGCGGCTTCCCGGGCATGTCATGCCCCTTGTGCTCACGGCCGGCGGCAGTCGAAGCAGCGTTGACTCGGCTCATCGTAGACGTGGATGGAAAAATGCCTGCACAAAGAGAACCAAGACGTTCAGAGCCATAACAGCGAAGAGAGGTTAGAACAAGACAAGTACAAACGGACGCACCTAATCCAGCCTGAGCTTTAAAGGGCTCGGCCACCAGCAACCGGAGGTTCTGGATGCCAAGTCCGGCTATGCGCTTGGCATATCCGAGTTCCTCGTCCGTCATGGGTGGTGGAATCGTCTTCACCGGATAAGCATTCCACCGGTCAGAGAATGGCATCGGTGAGCCTACCCCGGCCAGGAAGAAGCGCTCTTCCCAACCGTCCGGATTCCCAGCATTATTCGAAAACAGGACCATGGACGGACGGGCGATCAGGGTCAGATACCCTGTGCGCCCAAAAGGGGACAGCCGAAAGAAATGGTGCAGCAGGTCCACGGTGGGGGTCACACCGACGCTGTGGCATCTAATGATGAAGCCAGCGATTATCCGATAGGCGGCAGGGACGAACTGCGCAGGCACTACCTCAAGGGCCCTGAAGAGCTCCAAGTGGAAGCTATGTAAGGGAAAGTTCAGCCCGGCTATCACTGAATCCAAGTGGACCACCACATAGCCGGGCAGATGGCGCATGGGGTTGCGCAGACGCCGATCGTCGTAGGTCCTTGGAGGATAGAACCATTGGCTGATCAGACGCTTGTCAGCATTCGTCAGGCGTTGAACTTGACGCCGAACGTACGAAAAGCTGAGGCTATAACGGGGAGGCCAGGGCTGTAACACCGTCCCCAAATATATTTACTTTTATGTAAATAATGTATTGAACCTTATTAAAGAATTAATGAATTTACGAAGTTGTAAAAATTTTTATTATCTCATTCGCGTGAAATGTAAATTGCACGTGGGACCCACACCGGGAGCGGGGGCCGCCCGACACTCCCGAGGCCACATATTTTATTCATCTTAGTCAAGATAATATTTATATAGTGGTGGATATTTTATTTGGGACGTGGAAAGGCGCAGAGTTGACCGATTGGGAAAAAGAGGCCCAATTACCGGTACCGACAATTAAACAGATAACAGCCCGAAAATGAATTTCGGAGGCTTCCAAATTAAAGTTTTGGAATATATATTATTTCAGAGGGGCGTTATGATGGGGAACACATAATATATTTTATTTTACCCGATAAAATAAATTATGATTAAAACAGTCCAAAAAAATACAACTTTCGGGACCGATTGTACACTTCGGGACAAAAAGGGTTGACCTCCCACATGAGTGGGGGCCAACCCACGTTTTTGGTCACTCAAATGGAGGGCTTGGCTGGCTGGAGTGATAGAGAGGCATGGGGGGAGGTGTGTGTGAAGTGAAATAAAAGGCATCAAACAAAAGGGAGTGGACCCCCATGTATACTCATTGATCAATGAGACAAAGGGCAACCCCTATCCCCCTCTCCCCATCATTCTCGGCCAGAATTCATCCAGCAAGAGCAAGAGAACTTCCCATCTTCCTTCTCCATTGTTGAAGAGAAATCATCAAGGAAGAATCACCCAAAAAGGAGCTAAAGTGCTAAAAGTGTGAAATAATTAAGGTAATGACCTTATTATAACTTCTTCTTTATTTTTTCTTCTACCATATGAGATACATATCATGTGAAGAATCCTTAAGAGGGTTCTACATGTTGTAAGTATGGATTAATGGATTGGAAAGTGATTCTATGTCCAAGAACGGACTTAGAAGCCAAAACGACCGGTTCACCGGAAAATAACCTTTTAGAGGTTATTTGTATTGATTAAGGTTTTATGATGTTAAAACCTTGTTAGGCACTTGTAAAGGGTATTTCAAGTGATTTCACAAAGTTGGGAAAGTCGCCGGAGTTGTCGCCGGAGTTGACCAAAAGTCGCCGGAGTTTCACCGGAGTTCAACCAAGAAGGGTAGAACTTCATACGCTAGTTCAAGGTGAGTGGACGGCTTAATATCTTATAACTTTTGGGTTAATTATGAGATTACCTAAATAAATGTTATATGTGTTCATAATGATGTTTAAAAGATATTTAAACATGTGATTAGCCAACATTATTAAGTTGTATAAAAAGAATTAATTGTTTATGCATGAAATATGATATGAGAAATTATATATAATGCATATTTGCTTTAAGAGTAAAAGAAGCACAAATGGATATTATTAACTTAATTATATGATGAATTAGTTAATAAGTGTAAGACTTGAGATGGCGGTCAACAACAACGTTGACCGATGGTTAATGAATTAATTAATATCGGTTGATATTAGTTAATTATACATTTATATGGTTGCATGGATTTGCATGGATTGTGATACATAAGCTTTATGTAGTGAATTAGTTATGAATGACTAAATATGATATAGACCCTATCTAGCGTGATATGTGGTAAGTCATAGGTCGGGTGGAGTACCCAAGGATCGGGCGGTTATCCTCAAAACTCGGTTATATAGGGTGGAGTACCCAAGGATCGGGCGGTTATCCTCAAAACTCAGTTATATAGGGTGGAGTACCCAAGGATCGGGCGGTTATCCTCAAAACTCGGTTATATAGGGTGGAGTACCCAAGGATCGGGCGGTTATCCTCAAAACTCGGTTATATAGGGTGGAGTACCCAAGGATCGGGCGGTTATCCTCAAAACTCGGTTATATAGGGTGGAGTACCCAAGGATCGGGCGGTTATCCTCAAAACTCGGTTATAGGGTGGAGTACCCAAGGATCGGGTGTGTATCCTCAAAACTCATAGATTACATATAATGATCTAGGACCGGGCGGTGTCCTTATGATAATTTACTTGAACAAGGAGGAGTTCTATACACTCATAGGCATATGGGTGGGTTGGGGTTTTTAGTCAAGAATATTGACTATTACTATTTTTCCCAAATAAACTGGTGATCTACGGATCGGATATTTTTCCAAGTATATATATACTATTAAGTATTTCATAACTTGGGGGAAAGACTATTTATATAAGTATCACCCTATGTTTGGGTCTTATACTTGAAACGCTAGTTATTCTATATTTAGCCTGCTACTCGCTCGGTACTTGTACTGACCCCTTCGGGGGGCCCCACCATTTTCAGGTTGAAGCTAGGGCTTGCTACTTGCACCTTCTCACGGGTGATATCAAATCAGGAAGACGTGGTTCGTGCTTCCTTATTTTCTTTCAAACTACCGAACACTTGCTCATGGATATTTGTTCTACTATAAACTATTTTTGGGGCTTGCATGCCCATGTTGTTGGCCGGTTGTGGCTTATGACTTACCATTGAATATTTCCGCTATTCATTGGTTTAAATGTGATGTTGTTATGTATGTTTACTACTGAGTATGGATGGATTGTTTTCTCGAACGCCTTGTGTAATTAAGAGGGGTTGACTCGCGGGTGACGTCACTTAATTATACGGCGGTTGTACACGCGCTTGGATTGCGGTCTGGGGCGTGACAATTAAGTGGTATCAGAGCCATCTCAGTTCTAAACTATATAATCAACCTCTCACAAAAGATTTTACAAAAGAGTTCTTACCGAAAACCATGAGCATTGTATTTTGACGTTTATAGGACTATTGGTGCTTAAGTTGCAAGGCCTCTAATTGTTAAGACGGTACCCTTAACAATTGGTATGGTGGTGACTTGGGTCGATACGTGTCTATAACGTTTTTCCGTCAATTGACATTCATAGGAGTCTAAAGACTCGTCCAAATTCCGTTTCAGAAATGGAGGGTAAGCGAATGGCAACAAGAAATGACCCTAAGGGACAAGCGTCGGTAGCTTACCTTGAGGCTAGCCGGGCTGTGTCACGAGCCTTTACGGGGAGAGGAATAGGCCATGGGGGCCGTGAGGGCCGCCAAGCGGCAAACGCTAATCAAGTGGGCTCGATGTGTAACATGAACACCAGGAGGAACGAACGTAGGCGTCAGGCGAGGCGAGATCGGGCCACCTCCCAACGTGATATGACTGTCAGCCAAACCCATCCTTGGGCAAACGACCAAGGAGGAGAAAGCACTCTTACGGCACCGGCATCACCGGTGAAAAAGAAAAGGAACTCAAAGTGGCACACGTCCTTTCCTTACTCCTTAAGACCATCCAAATGTTCTAATTGCTCTAAGAAACATTTTGGAAAGTGCAACGAGCCCCCGATGTGCTACAAATGTGGGAGCACAACCCATATGAAATTAAGTTGCCCATGGAGGAGGCAACGAGAGACATTGCAAGCCGAGGAAGGGCTCACCGTGAATGGAAACCATACGGAACCAACGATGAGCAACGCTACGTCCGTCAATCAAGGCGGGGCCCAAGCAAGGGTCTACGCAATGACCGAGGCGGATGCGAGAGCAAACCCGGACTCCGTTGCAGGTAAACATGTATTCCCATGTATTTCTAGGCTTACTTTGGTCATATACGTCGTTGGGATTGAGTGCGGGCCACCCCGGGGTCAAACCGGGTGAGTTAGGCCGAATCGGGCTGGAAACAGCCACTGCTGGCCAGGCACGCCCGCAGGCACGCCGTGCCTGGCGTCGTGCCTGGAGGGCAGTGGCACCCGAAGAGAAAGAAAAAAAAATTTGGGCCAGGCACGGCCGCAGGCACGCCGTGCCTGGCGTCGTGCCTGGAAGGCAGTGGCGTCCGAAGAATTTTTGGCCAGGCACGGCCGCAGGCACGCCGTGCCTGGCATCGTGCCTGGCCGGCAGTGGCCAGCAGGGAGAGTTTGTTGCACGCACGGCCGTGCGTGCCACCCAGGCACGCCGTGCGTGGACCCCCAACACCCGAAATTGATTTTTTTCGCCCCGTTCTTCTACGTTTGGACTCCCGTTTGATTCCAAACATTAGTATGAGCCTAATAACCTCCTAAAGATGTGTAAAAACATTAGAAAATGTATCTTACACGGTGTATAAATGTAGGAACATTAAAGATCAATGGTAGGTGTGCGAGGATCCTCATCGATACCGGGGCACAACGCTCATTTGTGAGTGAGGCGTTCGCCGAGGGCTTTGACGTGCCATTGACACCTATGACTCAAACGTTGCTAGTCTCCACACCGTTAGGAGACGACGTGGAGAGAAATCATTACTATCCGTCGTGTGAGGTAGAAGTGACGGGTCAACCTTTGACTTGTGATTTCGTACCTCTAAGCATGTTGGAGTTTGATGCAATCCTAGGAATGGATTGGCTCGAGAAACACCATGCCCGGGTAGATTGCTACACCAAGGTGTTGGAGCTCGAGGATGATCAAGGGAACACGCTATGTTTCGAGGGAGATCGGGGGAAATCTAATGCTTGTATCATATCCGTGATGAGAGCACGAAAGATGATGAGGAAGGGATGCCACGCATACCTTGCTTATGTGGTAGATGATACGAAGAAAGAAGTCGACATCAAGGATGTTCGAGTCGTGTGCAAGTACCCGGACGTCTTTCCCAAGGACCTACCAGGGCTTCCACCCGATAGAGAGATTGAATTTGTAATCGAAGTGGAGCCGGGAACCAAACCCATTTCGATTCCTCCTTATCGAATGGCGCCGGCCGAACTCCAAGAGTTGAAGGTCCAACTACAAGAATTACTGGACAACGGGTTCATCAGACCCAGTCATTCACCGTGGGGAGCACCCGTACTCTTCGTAAAGAAGAAAGATGGTACACTAAGAATGTGTATCGACTACCGACAGTTGAACAAGGTCACCATCAAGAACAGGTATCCTTTACCTAGGATTGATGACTTGTTTGATCAACTTCGAGGGGCCATAGTATTCTCAAAGATTGACTTGAGATCGGGGTATCATCAGTTGAAGATCAAGGAGAGTGACATACCTAAGAGTGCATTTCGCACTAGATATGGTCACTACGAGTTTCTTGTGATGTCATTTGGGACTTGATGAACCGTGTGTTTAGTGAATACTTAGATCAATTTGTGATAGTATTCATCGATGACATCTTGATATACTCCAAGAGCGAGGAAGAGCACGAACACCATTTGAGGCTTGTACTTGATCGGCTAAGGGAAAAGCAACTCTTCGCCAAGTTCTCCAAATGCGAATTTTGGCTCAAAGAGATTGGTTTCCTCGGTCATGTCATATCCGGTTCGGGTGTTGCTGTGGATAACGCCCAGATAAAAGCGATCATGGATTGGGAGAGACCCAGGAATGCGAAGGAGATACGTAGTTTCCTTGGCCTAGCGGGATACTATCGTAAATTTGTTGAGAAATTCTCCGTATTGGCGTCTCCATTAACGAAGCTCACAAAGAAAGGGGCCAAGTTCATATGGGACGATAAGTGCGAGAAGGGGTTCCTTGAATTGAAGAAACGACTTACCGAAGCACCAGTCCTGGCCCTACCCATACAGGGTATAGGGTACGACATTTACAGCGATGCTAGCATCCAAGGGCTTGGATGTGTACTAATGCAAAACGGTAAGGTGATTGCCTATGCTTCTAGGCAATTGAGGAAACACGAGGTGAACTACCCTACTCACGATCTAGAGTTGGGGGCGGTGGTGTTTGCATTGAATATTTGGAGACATTATCTCTACGGGGAGACGTGTCACATTTATACTGATCATAAGAGCTTGAAGTATGTATTCACTCAGAAAGAGTTGAATATGAGGCAGAGGAGATGGATGGAGTTGATCAAGGACTATGACTTGATCATCGACTATCATCCCGGAAAGGCCAATGTAGTGGCCGACGCACTGAGCAGAAAGAGTACGTCAGGGACGCTACTCACATGTCTACAAGCATTGAGGGCACACGTGGAGGTATCCACGAGCGGGGCGCTCATTGCTAGATTCGAGGTGAGGCCTACATTGCTGAGTGAGATCAGTAGATGTCAGGCCATTGATGAGGAATGTCAGAAGATCCGCAAACGGATCCTTGAGGGGCCCGTCGAGAATTTTCGGGTACGTGATGACGGTCTTTTATTATTTAAGGATCGTGTGTGCATACCAAAGAATGAGGAGCTCCAGAGGGCTATACTTGAGGAGGCTCATTCTTCAGCATATGCCATGCATCCAGGGGGTACTAAGACGTACCGAGATCTGAAGGAAAGTTACTGGTGGTCAGGCATGAAGAAGGATATCGCAGAGTTTGTGAGTCGATGCCTTACTTGCCAGCAAGTTAAGGCAGAGCATCAGCACCCAGCAGGGCTCTTACAACCACTCACCATCCCAGAGTGGAAGTGGGAACATGTGACCATGGACTTCGTGGTGGGGCTGCCACGAACAGTGAACAACTACGATGCAGTATGGGTAGTGGTTGATAGGCTCACCAAGAGTGCACACTTTCTGCCTATCAACATTACTTATCCTCTTGAAAGATTGGCCAAGCTATACACGGAGGAGATTGTGAGATTACATGGAGTCCCAATATCCATTGTCTCGGATAGGGATCCACGATTCACATCCCGATTTTGGCCAAAGTTTCAAGCATCTTTGGGGACTAAACTGAAGTTTAGCACAGCTTTTCACCCACAGACGGATGGACAGTCCGAGCGGGTGATACAGATTTTGGAATACATGCTTAGGGCATGTGCTTTGGAGTTCCAAGGAAGTTGGGACAAGCATTTGGCCCTAGTGGAGTTTGCTTATAACAACAGTTATCAAGCAAGTATCGGCATGCCTCCATATGAGGCATTGTATGGGAGGAAATGCAGAACACCATTGTGTTGGGACGAGGTTGGCGAGGCCAAACTCGAAGGGATAGAGCTGGTTGAGATCACCAAGGCCAAGGTGAGGATCATTCGGGATAGACTGAAGGCCGCTCAGGACCGACAGAAGAGTTATGCTGATAAACGGCGGAGACCGTTGGAGTTCGAAGTCGGTGATGAGGTCTTCCTAAGGATTTCTCCTTGGAAGGGCATCATCCGATTCGTATCAAGGGGGAAACTTAACCCCCGATACATAGGTCCGTTTGAGATCCTTGAAAGGATCGGGGCCGTGGCTTACCGACTCAAGTTGACGCCTGAACTTGAGAAGATACATGACGTGTTTCATGTATCAATGCTCAAGAAGTACATACGAGACCCATCTCATATTCTTGAGAGACCACCGGTAGAGATCCGTGAGGACTTGCGACATGTGGTGGAACCAGTGAAGATTGTTGGTCAACAAGTGAAGAAACTTAGGAATAAGGAGATTCCTATGGTAAAGGTCCTTTGGAGGAGTGATCGAGTCGAAGAAGAAACTTGGGAGACCGAGGTCTCAATGAGGGAGCAATACCCATTTCTTTTCGATTAGATACTTGGATTTCGGGGACGAAATCCCAAATAAGGGGGGGTGAACTTGTAACACCGTCCCCAAATATATTTACTTTTATGTAAATAATGTATTGAACCTTATTAAAGAATTAATGAATTTACGAAGTTGTAAAAATTTTTATTATCTCATTCGCGTGAAATGTAAATTGCACGTGGGACCCACACCGGGAGCGGGGGCCGCCCGACACTCCCGAGGCCACATATTTTATTCATCTTAGTCAAGATAATATTTATATAGTGGTGGATATTTTATTTGGGACGTGGAAAGGCGCAGAGTTGACCGATTGGGAAAAAGAGGCCCAATTACCGGTACCGACAATTAAACAGATAACAGCCCGAAAATGAATTTCGGAGGCTTCCAAATTAAAGTTTTGGAATATATATTATTTCAGAGGGGCGTTATGATGGGGAACACATAATATATTTTATTTTACCCGATAAAATAAATTATGATTAAAACAGTCCAAAAAAATACAACTTTCGGGACCGATTGTACACTTCGGGACAAAAAGGGTTGACCTCCCACATGAGTGGGGGCCAACCCACGTTTTTGGTCACTCAAATGGAGGGCTTGGCTGGCTGGAGTGATAGAGAGGCATGGGGGGAGGTGTGTGTGAAGTGAAATAAAAGGCATCAAACAAAAGGGAGTGGACCCCCATGTATACTCATTGATCAATGAGACAAAGGGCAACCCCTATCCCCCTCTCCCCATCATTCTCGGCCAGAATTCATCCAGCAAGAGCAAGAGAACTTCCCATCTTCCTTCTCCATTGTTGAAGAGAAATCATCAAGGAAGAATCACCCAAAAAGGAGCTAAAGTGCTAAAAGTGTGAAATAATTAAGGTAATGACCTTATTATAACTTCTTCTTTATTTTTTCTTCTACCATATGAGATACATATCATGTGAAGAATCCTTAAGAGGGTTCTACATGTTGTAAGTATGGATTAATGGATTGGAAAGTGATTCTATGTCCAAGAACGGACTTAGAAGCCAAAACGACCGGTTCACCGGAAAATAACCTTTTAGAGGTTATTTGTATTGATTAAGGTTTTATGATGTTAAAACCTTGTTAGGCACTTGTAAAGGGTATTTCAAGTGATTTCACAAAGTTGGGAAAGTCGCCGGAGTTGTCGCCGGAGTTGACCAAAAGTCGCCGGAGTTTCACCGGAGTTCAACCAAGAAGGGTAGAACTTCATACGCTAGTTCAAGGTGAGTGGACGGCTTAATATCTTATAACTTTTGGGTTAATTATGAGATTACCTAAATAAATGTTATATGTGTTCATAATGATGTTTAAAAGATATTTAAACATGTGATTAGCCAACATTATTAAGTTGTATAAAAAGAATTAATTGTTTATGCATGAAATATGATATGAGAAATTATATATAATGCATATTTGCTTTAAGAGTAAAAGAAGCACAAATGGATATTATTAACTTAATTATATGATGAATTAGTTAATAAGTGTAAGACTTGAGATGGCGGTCAACAACAACGTTGACCGATGGTTAATGAATTAATTAATATCGGTTGATATTAGTTAATTATACATTTATATGGTTGCATGGATTTGCATGGATTGTGATACATAAGCTTTATGTAGTGAATTAGTTATGAATGACTAAATATGATATAGACCCTATCTAGCGTGATATGTGGTAAGTCATAGGTCGGGTGGAGTACCCAAGGATCGGGCGGTTATCCTCAAAACTCGGTTATATAGGGTGGAGTACCCAAGGATCGGGCGGTTATCCTCAAAACTCAGTTATATAGGGTGGAGTACCCAAGGATCGGGCGGTTATCCTCAAAACTCGGTTATATAGGGTGGAGTACCCAAGGATCGGGCGGTTATCCTCAAAACTCGGTTATATAGGGTGGAGTACCCAAGGATCGGGCGGTTATCCTCAAAACTCGGTTATATAGGGTGGAGTACCCAAGGATCGGGCGGTTATCCTCAAAACTCGATTATAGGGTGGAGTACCCAAGGATCGGGTGTGTATCCTCAAAACTCATAGATTACATATAATGATCTAGGACCGGGCGGTGTCCTTATGATAATTTACTTGAACAAGGAGGAGTTCTATACACTCATAGGCATATGGGTGGGTTGGGGTTTTTAGTCAAGAATATTGACTATTACTATTTTTCCCAAATAAACTGGTGATCTACGGATCGGATATTTTTCCAAGTATATATATACTATTAAGTATTTCATAACTTGGGGGAAAGACTATTTATATAAGTATCACCCTATGTTTGGGTCTTATACTTGAAACGCTAGTTATTCTATATTTAGCCTGCTACTCGCTCGGTACTTGTACTGACCCCTTCGGGGGGCCCCACCATTTTCAGGTTGAAGCTAGGGCTTGCTACTTGCACCTTCTCACGGGTGATATCAAATCAGGAAGACGTGGTTCGTGCTTCCTTATTTTCTTTCAAACTACCGAACACTTGCTCATGGATATTTGTTCTACTATAAACTATTTTTGGGGCTTGCATGCCCATGTTGTTGGCCGGTTGTGGCTTATGACTTACCATTGAATATTTCCGCTATTCATTGGTTTAAATGTGATGTTGTTATGTATGTTTACTACTGAGTATGGATGGATTGTTTTCTCGAACGCCTTGTGTAATTAAGAGGGGTTGACTCGCGGGTGACGTCACTTAATTATACGGCGGTTGTACACGCGCTTGGATTGCGGTCTGGGGCGTGACAATTAAGTGGTATCAGAGCCATCTCAGTTCTAAACTATATAATCAACCTCTCACAAAAGATTTTACAAAAGAGTTCTTACCGAAAACCATGAGCATTGTATTTTGACGTTTATAGGACTATTGGTGCTTAAGTTGCAAGGCCTCTAATTGTTAAGACGGTACCCTTAACAATTGGTATGGTGGTGACTTGGGTCGATACGTGTCTATAACGTTTTTCCGTCAATTGACATTCATAGGAGTCTAAAGACTCGTCCAAATTCCGTTTCAGAAATGGAGGGTAAGCGAATGGCAACAAGAAATGACCCTAAGGGACAAGCGTCGGTAGCTTACCTTGAGGTTAGCCGGGCTGTGTCACGAGCCTTTACGGGGAGAGGAATAGGCCATGGGGGCCGTGAGGGCCGCCAAGCGGCAAACGCTAATCAAGTGGGCTCGATGTGTAACATGAACACCAGGAGGAACGAACGTAGGCGTCAGGCGAGGCGAGATCGGGCCACCTCCCAACGTGATATGACTGTCAGCCAAACCCATCCTTGGGCAAACGACCAAGGAGGAGAAAGCACTCTTACGGCACCGGCATCACCGGTGAAAAAGAAAAGGAACTCAAAGTGGCACACGTCCTTTCCTTACTCCTTAAGACCATCCAAATGTTCTAATTGCTCTAAGAAACATTTTGGAAAGTGCAACGAGCCCCCGATGTGCTACAAATGTGGGAGCACAACCCATATGAAATTAAGTTGCCCATGGAGGAGGCAACGAGAGACATTGCAAGCCGAGGAAGGGCTCACCGTGAATGGAAACCATACGGAACCAACGATGAGCAACGCTACGTCCGTCAATCAAGGCGGGGCCCAAGCAAGGGTCTACGCAATGACCGAGGCGGATGCGAGAGCAAACCCGGACTCCGTTGCAGGTAAACATGTATTCCCATGTATTTCTAGGCTTACTTTGGTCATATACGTCGTTGGGATTGAGTGCGGGCCACCCCGGGGTCAAACCGGGTGAGTTAGGCCGAATCGGGCTGGAAACAGCCACTGCTGGCCAGGCACGCCCGCAGGCACGCCGTGCCTGGCGTCGTGCCTGGAGGGCAGTGGCACCCGAAGAGAAAGAAAAAAAAATTTGGGCCAGGCACGGCCGCAGGCACGCCGTGCCTGGCGTCGTGCCTGGAAGGCAGTGGCGTCCGAAGAATTTTTGGCCAGGCACGGCCGCAGGCACGCCGTGCCTGGCATCGTGCCTGGCCGGCAGTGGCCAGCAGGGAGAGTTTGTTGCACGCACGGCCGTGCGTGCCACCCAGGCACGCCGTGCGTGGACCCCCAACACCCGAAATTGATTTTTTTCGCCCCGTTCTTCTACGTTTGGACTCCCGTTTGATTCCAAACATTAGTATGAGCCTAATAACCTCCTAAAGATGTGTAAAAACATTAGAAAATGTATCTTACACGGTGTATAAATGTAGGAACATTAAAGATCAATGGTAGGTGTGCGAGGATCCTCATCGATACCGGGGCACAACGCTCATTTGTGAGTGAGGCGTTCGCCGAGGGCTTTGACGTGCCATTGACACCTATGACTCAAACGTTGCTAGTCTCCACACCGTTAGGAGACGACGTGGAGAGAAATCATTACTATCCGTCGTGTGAGGTAGAAGTGACGGGTCAACCTTTGACTTGTGATTTCGTACCTCTAAGCATGTTGGAGTTTGATGCAATCCTAGGAATGGATTGGCTCGAGAAACACCATGCCCGGGTAGATTGCTACACCAAGGTGTTGGAGCTCGAGGATGATCAAGGGAACACGCTATGTTTCGAGGGAGATCGGGGGAAATCTAATGCTTGTATCATATCCGTGATGAGAGCACGAAAGATGATGAGGAAGGGATGCCACGCATACCTTGCTTATGTGGTAGATGATACGAAGAAAGAAGTCGACATCAAGGATGTTCGAGTCGTGTGCAAGTACCCGGACGTCTTTCCCAAGGACCTACCAGGGCTTCCACCCGATAGAGAGATTGAATTTGTAATCGAAGTGGAGCCGGGAACCAAACCCATTTCGATTCCTCCTTATCGAATGGCGCCGGCCGAACTCCAAGAGTTGAAGGTCCAACTACAAGAATTACTGGACAACGGGTTCATCAGACCCAGTCATTCACCGTGGGGAGCACCCGTACTCTTCGTAAAGAAGAAAGATGGTACACTAAGAATGTGTATCGACTACCGACAGTTGAACAAGGTCACCATCAAGAACAGGTATCCTTTACCTAGGATTGATGACTTGTTTGATCAACTTCGAGGGGCCATAGTATTCTCAAAGATTGACTTGAGATCGGGGTATCATCAGTTGAAGATCAAGGAGAGTGACATACCTAAGAGTGCATTTCGCACTAGATATGGTCACTACGAGTTTCTTGTGATGTCATTTGGGACTTGATGAACCGTGTGTTTAGTGAATACTTAGATCAATTTGTGATAGTATTCATCGATGACATCTTGATATACTCCAAGAGCGAGGAAGAGCACGAACACCATTTGAGGCTTGTACTTGATCGGCTAAGGGAAAAGCAACTCTTCGCCAAGTTCTCCAAATGCGAATTTTGGCTCAAAGAGATTGGTTTCCTCGGTCATGTCATATCCGGTTCGGGTGTTGCTGTGGATAACGCCCAGATAAAAGCGATCATGGATTGGGAGAGACCCAGGAATGCGAAGGAGATACGTAGTTTCCTTGGCCTAGCGGGATACTATCGTAAATTTGTTGAGAAATTCTCCGTATTGGCGTCTCCATTAACGAAGCTCACAAAGAAAGGGGCCAAGTTCATATGGGACGATAAGTGCGAGAAGGGGTTCCTTGAATTGAAGAAACGACTTACCGAAGCACCAGTCCTGGCCCTACCCATACAGGGTATAGGGTACGACATTTACAGCGATGCTAGCATCCAAGGGCTTGGATGTGTACTAATGCAAAACGGTAAGGTGATTGCCTATGCTTCTAGGCAATTGAGGAAACACGAGGTGAACTACCCTACTCACGATCTAGAGTTGGGGGCGGTGGTGTTTGCATTGAATATTTGGAGACATTATCTCTACGGGGAGACGTGTCACATTTATACTGATCATAAGAGCTTGAAGTATGTATTCACTCAGAAAGAGTTGAATATGAGGCAGAGGAGATGGATGGAGTTGATCAAGGACTATGACTTGATCATCGACTATCATCCCGGAAAGGCCAATGTAGTGGCCGACGCACTGAGCAGAAAGAGTACGTCAGGGACGCTACTCACATGTCTACAAGCATTGAGGGCACACGTGGAGGTATCCACGAGCGGGGCGCTCATTGCTAGATTCGAGGTGAGGCCTACATTGCTGAGTGAGATCAGTAGATGTCAGGCCATTGATGAGGAATGTCAGAAGATCCGCAAACGGATCCTTGAGGGGCCCGTCGAGAATTTTCGGGTACGTGATGACGGTCTTTTATTATTTAAGGATCGTGTGTGCATACCAAAGAATGAGGAGCTCCAGAGGGCTATACTTGAGGAGGCTCATTCTTCAGCATATGCCATGCATCCAGGGGGTACTAAGACGTACCGAGATCTGAAGGAAAGTTACTGGTGGTCAGGCATGAAGAAGGATATCGCAGAGTTTGTGAGTCGATGCCTTACTTGCCAGCAAGTTAAGGCAGAGCATCAGCACCCAGCAGGGCTCTTACAACCACTCACCATCCCAGAGTGGAAGTGGGAACATGTGACCATGGACTTCGTGGTGGGGCTGCCACGAACAGTGAACAACTACGATGCAGTATGGGTAGTGGTTGATAGGCTCACCAAGAGTGCACACTTTCTGCCTATCAACATTACTTATCCTCTTGAAAGATTGGCCAAGCTATACACGGAGGAGATTGTGAGATTACATGGAGTCCCAATATCCATTGTCTCGGATAGGGATCCACGATTCACATCCCGATTTTGGCCAAAGTTTCAAGCATCTTTGGGGACTAAACTGAAGTTTAGCACAGCTTTTCACCCACAGACGGATGGACAGTCCGAGCGGGTGATACAGATTTTGGAATACATGCTTAGGGCATGTGCTTTGGAGTTCCAAGGAAGTTGGGACAAGCATTTGGCCCTAGTGGAGTTTGCTTATAACAACAGTTATCAAGCAAGTATCGGCATGCCTCCATATGAGGCATTGTATGGGAGGAAATGCAGAACACCATTGTGTTGGGACGAGGTTGGCGAGGCCAAACTCGAAGGGATAGAGCTGGTTGAGATCACCAAGGCCAAGGTGAGGATCATTCGGGATAGACTGAAGGCCGCTCAGGACCGACAGAAGAGTTATGCTGATAAACGGCGGAGACCGTTGGAGTTCGAAGTCGGTGATGAGGTCTTCCTAAGGATTTCTCCTTGGAAGGGCATCATCCGATTCGTATCAAGGGGGAAACTTAACCCCCGATACATAGGTCCGTTTGAGATCCTTGAAAGGATCGGGGCCGTGGCTTACCGACTCAAGTTGACGCCTGAACTTGAGAAGATACATGACGTGTTTCATGTATCAATGCTCAAGAAGTACATACGAGACCCATCTCATATTCTTGAGAGACCACCGGTAGAGATCCGTGAGGACTTGCGACATGTGGTGGAACCAGTGAAGATTGTTGGTCAACAAGTGAAGAAACTTAGGAATAAGGAGATTCCTATGGTAAAGGTCCTTTGGAGGAGTGATCGAGTCGAAGAAGAAACTTGGGAGACCGAGGTCTCAATGAGGGAGCAATACCCATTTCTTTTCGATTAGATACTTGGATTTCGGGGACGAAATCCCAAATAAGGGGGGGTGAACTTGTAACACCGTCCCCAAATATATTTACTTTTATGTAAATAATGTATTGAACCTTATTAAAGAATTAATGAATTTACGAAGTTGTAAAAATTTTTATTATCTCATTCGCGTGAAATGTAAATTGCACGTGGGACCCACACCGGGAGCGGGGGCCGCCCGACACTCCCGAGGCCACATATTTTATTCATCTTAGTCAAGATAATATTTATATAGTGGTGGATATTTTATTTGGGACGTGGAAAGGCGCAGAGTTGACCGATTGGGAAAAAGAGGCCCAATTACCGGTACCGACAATTAAACAGATAACAGCCCGAAAATGAATTTCGGAGGCTTCCAAATTAAAGTTTTGGAATATATATTATTTCAGAGGGGCGTTATGATGGGGAACACATAATATATTTTATTTTACCCGATAAAATAAATTATGATTAAAACAGTCCAAAAAAATACAACTTTCGGGACCGATTGTACACTTCGGGACAAAAAGGGTTGACCTCCCACATGAGTGGGGGCCAACCCACGTTTTTGGTCACTCAAATGGAGGGCTTGGCTGGCTGGAGTGATAGAGAGGCATGGGGGGAGGTGTGTGTGAAGTGAAATAAAAGGCATCAAACAAAAGGGAGTGGACCCCCATGTATACTCATTGATCAATGAGACAAAGGGCAACCCCTATCCCCCTCTCCCCATCATTCTCGGCCAGAATTCATCCAGCAAGAGCAAGAGAACTTCCCATCTTCCTTCTCCATTGTTGAAGAGAAATCATCAAGGAAGAATCACCCAAAAAGGAGCTAAAGTGCTAAAAGTGTGAAATAATTAAGGTAATGACCTTATTATAACTTCTTCTTTATTTTTTCTTCTACCATATGAGATACATATCATGTGAAGAATCCTTAAGAGGGTTCTACATGTTGTAAGTATGGATTAATGGATTGGAAAGTGATTCTATGTCCAAGAACGGACTTAGAAGCCAAAACGACCGGTTCACCGGAAAATAACCTTTTAGAGGTTATTTGTATTGATTAAGGTTTTATGATGTTAAAACCTTGTTAGGCACTTGTAAAGGGTATTTCAAGTGATTTCACAAAGTTGGGAAAGTCGCCGGAGTTGTCGCCGGAGTTGACCAAAAGTCGCCGGAGTTTCACCGGAGTTCAACCAAGAAGGGTAGAACTTCATACGCTAGTTCAAGGTGAGTGGACGGCTTAATATCTTATAACTTTTGGGTTAATTATGAGATTACCTAAATAAATGTTATATGTGTTCATAATGATGTTTAAAAGATATTTAAACATGTGATTAGCCAACATTATTAAGTTGTATAAAAAGAATTAATTGTTTATGCATGAAATATGATATGAGAAATTATATATAATGCATATTTGCTTTAAGAGTAAAAGAAGCACAAATGGATATTATTAACTTAATTATATGATGAATTAGTTAATAAGTGTAAGACTTGAGATGGCGGTCAACAACAACGTTGACCGATGGTTAATGAATTAATTAATATCGGTTGATATTAGTTAATTATACATTTATATGGTTGCATGGATTTGCATGGATTGTGATACATAAGCTTTATGTAGTGAATTAGTTATGAATGACTAAATATGATATAGACCCTATCTAGCGTGATATGTGGTAAGTCATAGGTCGGGTGGAGTACCCAAGGATCGGGCGGTTATCCTCAAAACTCGGTTATATAGGGTGGAGTACCCAAGGATCGGGCGGTTATCCTCAAAACTCAGTTATATAGGGTGGAGTACCCAAGGATCGGGCGGTTATCCTCAAAACTCGGTTATATAGGGTGGAGTACCCAAGGATCGGGCGGTTATCCTCAAAACTCGGTTATATAGGGTGGAGTACCCAAGGATCGGGCGGTTATCCTCAAAACTCGGTTATATAGGGTGGAGTACCCAAGGATCGGGCGGTTATCCTCAAAACTCGGTTATAGGGTGGAGTACCCAAGGATCGGGTGTGTATCCTCAAAACTCATAGATTACATATAATGATCTAGGACCGGGCGGTGTCCTTATGATAATTTACTTGAACAAGGAGGAGTTCTATACACTCATAGGCATATGGGTGGGTTGGGGTTTTTAGTCAAGAATATTGACTATTACTATTTTTCCCAAATAAACTGGTGATCTACGGATCGGATATTTTTCCAAGTATATATATACTATTAAGTATTTCATAACTTGGGGGAAAGACTATTTATATAAGTATCACCCTATGTTTGGGTCTTATACTTGAAACGCTAGTTATTCTATATTTAGCCTGCTACTCGCTCGGTACTTGTACTGACCCCTTCGGGGGGCCCCACCATTTTCAGGTTGAAGCTAGGGCTTGCTACTTGCACCTTCTCACGGGTGATATCAAATCAGGAAGACGTGGTTCGTGCTTCCTTATTTTCTTTCAAACTACCGAACACTTGCTCATGGATATTTGTTCTACTATAAACTATTTTTGGGGCTTGCATGCCCATGTTGTTGGCCGGTTGTGGCTTATGACTTACCATTGAATATTTCCGCTATTCATTGGTTTAAATGTGATGTTGTTATGTATGTTTACTACTGAGTATGGATGGATTGTTTTCTCGAACGCCTTGTGTAATTAAGAGGGGTTGACTCGCGGGTGACGTCACTTAATTATACGGCGGTTGTACACGCGCTTGGATTGCGGTCTGGGGCGTGACAAGGGCGGCATTCCCCGCTCATAATATTCCAAGTCATCACCAGAAGAACAACCATCGTCGAAGCGATTTTCGGAAGACATGGCAACGAACGGTACCTTTGGAGTTCGAGGTTCCGATACGGTTTGAGAGAAATCTAGAGAGAGAAGACAATTGTGCAGCGTAAGGAGAAGTATGAATGAACTACATGGGTTCAGAGTACTTATAGGCAGCACCGCGGGAACACACCAACCGAAGTGGGACACGTGGCGCCTGGGTACCGGTACCTACCACGGCATTTAAGGTGCCTCGATTCCGTCGCCGCATAATCTTGGCAAAGGTGGCTGGATCGAAGCCACGAACGTCCAGCGGGGAACTCGGGACGCCCGGAGATCACGACCATCGGCTGTCCCTAATATAGGCGGCTAGTGGGGGACATATGCATCAACGGGCTACGTTCGTCTTTCCATACTTCATGCCATTTGAACATGTAGAACAGACGAACGTCCCCATACGTAGCTGGAGTATTCATGTCACGCAACGACAGCCGAACGTCGTTACCGAACGCTGATTCTGGGAAGTACGTTCATACGTCCACACTTTGAGTATACATCATAAGCCACCAACGAACGTCGTTTCATGGATTAGAGTACCTTGAGGACGGTAAGCCGGCATCAGAGCCCAACATCGACGCCCGAAGACGGGCCTGGGCGGTACTTCCGCACACTTGAGCACGTACGGAGGTTTGGCAAGGGAACGCCGTTGCCTTAAGCAAGTAAGGAACGGATACGAACGTCCTCGCGGACTTTAACCTTTGTGACAAATGTATCGAGGCTCCGAAGGGGTTCCCATACAACAGACGATGGAGGAAACGAAAGTAAAAATAACGAAGTAAAGACCATGAACGTAGAGACAATTTGGGCAAAAGAGGCGTATATTCTTCGGCTCTAACGGCCGGGCATTACAAACGCAAAATGAAAAGATTACAATTTACATTTACACCATGAAAGGGGACTCAGGCCGGCTGCCTCCCGGGATCTGCTCCTCCTCCTCGGCTTCGGGCTCGGGGGTCGGGGGTTCCGGAATTTCCCCTCTAGCCTTGGCCTCCTCCCGCCGTTGGTCCCTCCCCAACTTCCCCAAGGCTTGAAGCAGCAGATCGTCGTCTGTATTAGCAGTAAGCTCGAAGTCGGCCCCCTGCAGCCTCGAGAAAATGGGAAGGGTGGCCTTGACCCCCTCATTGTAGCCAGCGGCGAAGGTGCTGTCGCCGACCTCGTAGAGGAACTTGTGAGACAAGGGGGAGCTCTCCAGGATCCGCACGCCGCACGCCAGGCGCTGCCGGGGCGGGATCTTTGCCAACGCCGCGGAGAACACATCACCGAAGGCCCCGGCGCAGTAGTCCTTGGCGGAGTCCATAAACTCCCCAGTGTTCCGGTAGCCGGAGGTGTCGACCAACCACTCCGGGGTGGCATCCTTGGCAGCAGGGAGCACCGGGACAAGCTTAAAGCCGGCTCTCTCAAGACCGGCTAGTTGACTGCGAGATTCAGCCTGCAGGGCTGCAATCTCCCTTCCCTTGGCCGCTGCCTCCGCCTCAGCTCGACGAGCGGCCTCCCGGGCCGTAGCAACGGCCGCATCAGCCTTGGCCTTGATCTCCCTCAGGTCAGCCTCCCGGGCAGCCTCAGCTTGAAGGACTAGAAGCCCAGACTGGATGACAGAAGGAAAAAAATGGTTAGAAGATGAACGTCAAGAGAAAGATGTGCTCAGATCTGGTAAAGAAGGGATACCTGAAGAGCGGCGGCCAGGGCAGCACTGGTCGCCTCAGACGACGAACGGCGGGGCAACTCAAGACCGGCCTTGAGGGCCATCTCCCTCCAGAGGTCTTCCGCCGGGCGGCTCAATGGCAGAGAGCCGGCGTCTTCGAGCAGAGGCTCGGTGGAGGCTGCCTCACGGCCCCTTTTCTGCTTCTTCTCAGGGGCTTTCTCCGTCCCCTTCTGAGGAGCCGCCTTCGTGGAGACGACCGGCGGTGGAAGGGCAGCTTCGAGAGCAGGGGCCCCAGAACCCTGGGCCAGCATGGTGGCGATCAAGTGCTGCTCACCCTCAGCAGTTCGTCGGGCAGCGTCAGATGCTGAGGAGTTGGAATCCGAGGCGGGGGCATTCTTGGCCTTCGCCAGTGCAGCTTTTGCAGCGGCTGCCTTGGCCTTCCTTGTCTTCAGACATTCAGCGTGATTCATTTGGGCTCTATCTGGCGGAGAACCTGCAGGAAAACCACAAGGGGTTAAAAGACGAACAGAGAATGCAGAAGGACACTCACCTCGAAGGACAGGACCGCCCGGTGCCCCGAGACGAGCGTCGAAGGGTGGAAAGAGTCCAAGGACACGGGCGGTACCTATGCCTGCCCCCGAGAGTGCCTCGAAGGTCAGATAGCCAGCTATGGGGCGAATGCCGCCCTGTAGGATGCTTTCCACGGCCTCGCTCAGATCGTCGGTCAGCTCCGGCGACTCTATCTTCGGGGGGTAGCCATTCCAACGAACTGGGAGGGGAGGACCATCATAGCGAAGGAAGAAGAACCGGTTCTTCCAGTCATGGATGGAGGAAGGGTAGCTCTTAAACAGCCTCCTCCCCGGACGAGCGGCCACGCTCAGATACCCGTCGGAGTTCTGGGGGGTGATCCGGAAGAAGTAGTGGAACAGTTCCAGGGTGGCATCGACTCCCGCAAGTTTGCAGCGCACCAAGAAGGCCGATATGAACCTATAAGAATTTGGCATGAATTGCGCCGGGGCCACTTGGAAGCAGTGGAAGAACTCCACATAAAAGGCGTGAAGTGGAAACCGCAGCCCGGCTTCAACGGAGTCCAAATGAAGCATGACCATCCCCGGACGTCTCCTCATCACGTGCTCGGCGCCTCTCACGCTCCAGACGAACGGCGGGGGGGAGAAGGTGCGGATTTTGTTAAGGGCCACGCGGGAGAGAACTTGGTCATGGTCGAGGGCGCTCCTGATCGGACAGATGTGGCGCTCCATGTCCGTAGGGATGCCCAGATCATGCACCTCCATGTCGGAGCCTGATTCGGCCTCCTCCCCAGGGGACTGCATCGATAACATCTACTGCCCCGTCAGCATTTCCACCCCCGGCATCGCTCCCACTACCTTGGGAAGCGTCATCCGGCTCATCATCAGCCCGGATGGTCCCTACCGTCGTTGCCGAAGCAGAAGTCCCAGAAATGCTGGCCTTCCCCGGGGAGCGCGCATCCACATTATCAGAAGAGGAGTTCGAAGAGGAACCCGACGAACCGGAATCAGAACTTGACGAAATCTCCATCGAAGTCATTTCAGCGAGAAATCAAGATAGAAAAGGAAGCAGAAGGGAAATTACCTTACGAAGAGACTAACTGAACTCAGAAACCGCGCAGAGAACTCGAAGAACAGTGGAGACTCTAAAGCAAGGGAGCAGAAATTGGGAACCCTAGTTCAGGGGGAAAACCCGGCATTTATAGGGGGAGCACCGTTTAAGAGGCCAACGAGGGGTTGACACGTAGCAAAGAGCGTGGTCCGGCTCACGCGCCGTGCGTGGGATGGAAGCGTAATGATGACACTTCCTCGGGAAAATGCACCGCCGCAACATCAGCCGTCACCTCGTTTCCTGAACCGTCGACAGCTATCAAGCACCATGACCACGAGCGTACGCTTCCAACGGGTGTAGAAAACACAAGTATCAAGACACGAACGTCTACTTTGAGGGAGTTCCTACTTCCTTATGTCCTGCGCAAGCCCAGAACATCAGAAGTGGGGGACTTGTGTTGGGTTAAGGGCCCAAGCCGAGGTCCGGCCCACTAACCCATTTTGTCAGACGAACGTCCAGTTAGAACACTAGGCCAGCCCACAGGCCCATGCTCCTTGAGGATGGACGAACGTCTGGGGTTGGGGGTTCAGGCCCAGCGGCCCCTCCCGACGAACGTCAATGTAGGGACAAGGAGCAGGGCCACGGGCCACCAGGGATGACGACGAACGTCCCTATGGCAAGCCTATAGTCATCGGAGGAAACCCAGTCCACATGGTGAGTATCCATCAAGGCCAGGAGACGAACCGCCGGTATCTCCTGAGGGTCACTTGGGGCGATCCAACTCACTTCCCGGGCGGACGAACGTCCCCACTGATTAGGCGGGAAGCCTAGATTCTGGCGGGAAGTGCATTTAATGCTGAAGATTTGGTGGTTGGGGCACCAGCGGTCCACAGGCTGCCACGTCAGTATAGCCACCTGCCCATTGGTGGTGACGTGCACTTTGTCGTGAGTGCACTCAAAGTAATTTCAACACTAACACTTATACGTAGTATAGGTGAAGTAGAGTTCGTATCCACAGGGAAAGGAATAATTCTCTTTTTATAGAACTAGTAAATAAAAGGGGGGTTTAGGATTGAATGATTTAATTTAATTAAACAGAAAGATGAACAACTTAAATGTGATTTAATTCAAAGATAAAAAGGACTTGGCATTGCTACTTTCCACTTGTTGATATATTTCAGTCGATCATTGTTATATCTATAACTTATCTCCTCTCGAATACTCAATCGAGGAGTATATCCAATTCATCGAGGCAAGTTATTAACAACGACCGTTCATTAATAACCCTTACTATTAGTCAAGTATAGAACAACGCCATATACCGACTTGATAGTAGCATTTAATCTCTTAACTCCTTGATGAAATCAATTGAGATTGATAACCTCAACACAACGGTTTCGGTTTAACCAACAAAATTAATCCCTCTTAAGTTTATTAACCACGACCGTGCATTAATAAACCGAAGTTACTTACTTGTGAAACCATC